CCCTCCCCCCTTCCCCCCTCGTATATATGTCTCTTATTATTTTATTTAGTAAGAGTTTTACGGCATTTGCAACACAATAAGGTCATATAAGTGCCGTATAGGTCTCCGAAAGTGAGATCTCCACCTGTCTGTGTTCTGGGCATGTTTTTAACAAACAGTATAATATGGGTAGCTCAAATTTGTTGGGACCGGCCTTGGTAGTCTGAGGGATATCTTACTAAGAGAAAGAAAGAAGAAGAGAAAAAACCGGAACAGCAGGCACAGTTTGACGGATGCATGATTTCGAGTCTTCTGTGTTCGACCTATCCGTGTTATACTGTATTAATGTATTATTTCCCGATGTCTCAACTAAACTTTCTCTGGGTGAAAAGAGAAGATCGTCCAGAAAAAATTTCGTTTAGGCATCAGAAAATGATCTTCTCTTCTAGCCCAGAGAAAATTTGGCTCAGGCATCAGAAAATATGTCATTGAGCCTGTGCCAAGAACCAAGAACTCACTCCAGCAGGTATTCCATGATCAATCTTAATGGGCTTGTTTTTTTTTCAGTTGAGATTAGTTCTATTTTAGTCTACTAGATGGGCCCAAAGAGACATAATTTTGTGTGTGTGTTAGATCACTTTCTTTCACAAAGTATTGAAACTGAAGGTTTTGGGGGTTTTTTATGAGGGGGGTTCCATTATGGATTTTTTAAAAGTCTTCATGTCATAACAATTTATAGATTAAAAAGTAAACCAACTGTCCACAGTTGAAGTTGAAACAAGATAAAAACAATACTTTACTTTTCCGATCCAGAGATAAAAACAATCAATGGCTGTGTTCAATCTTCTCGGGTCTTTGCCTAGAGGTCTGAAAGTTGGGTGACCAACCGAATCAAAAAGCCCATTTTGTAATGTTAACCTTAAGCAGGTCAAAAACAAAAAAAAGAAAAAGAAGTCATTTACAGCACACGCCTAAAACATAAAAAAGGTGACCTATTTTCCTTAACACCACACTGTAACTCACGTCTAAGAAACACAGTCCAACACATGGGTGAGTAGCCCTACTTGTCTAGACTCAAATGGAGACGTCTAGACAGTTTCCACAGTTGAAAATTAAGTTGATGAATTCACTTAAAAAAGAGCACAATATAAAAAAGATTTTTTATTTTAAAAATTATTTTTTTACACCCCCATTGACACATTTTAGATCATTTAGGAGGCGAGCTTTGACGTAGCCAGCCGGTCAGGACCAGTCTGGGCTGTGAAGGATACAATTCCCAGCACAAAAACCGAGATATACAGGATAAATATAGAACTCTCCCCACTCCGGAATGGAACTCGGGTCTCCTGTGTGCCACAACGAATAAGTGCTTAACCGCCACACAACGGACGCCAGAGTTGTAAAAAGTTGAGGAATTTACTTTAAAAAGATGAGGAGTTTTAATTTTTTTTGGAGGTCGTATTTTCATGCCCCCCAGCGACACAATTTAGATCATTATGCAGTTTCGAGCGCCGTAAAACTTATACAAAAACACCAACAAAAAAGAATAGATAACAGCTGCCTTCCAGCCACTTGCATACACTCTATTGTTTACCTTGTCTGTCCCCATCTTGTATATTATATTCGTAAGTCTCCCCATCATGAATATTTATGAGCCTCATCACCATCTGTGGCTGTGAGCATCCTTTAAAGAACCATCTTTGGCTGACGTCTAGAAATAGTTTTTTTTTAAAGCAACAGGGGAAAATTCAAAATTAAATCCGACAACAACTAAAATGTTTAATGTGTCCCACGCTTTTACTCTGGATAATATTATAAATAATATTATAATAATTATCCTAACAACAAATTCCACGATGTGAATTTTTAAGAATTGCAAGGGGCGCTGTGAGTTCTTTAATGAATGGAAAATAGGAAACTCATACTGTGTGTGTGTGTCGCTTACAGTGTTATCAAGATAAATACTGAGCAGACGACAAAAGCACCCACCCACAATAGATAATCCTAGATTGGATATCTTTCGGTGGTCTAACGAATTGATTAAATTCGAGAGGCTTTTTTAAATTTCAAACGTAGGGTAAGTGTATAAACTAGAGGTTTATATTCTTTACTGAGATTGCATCAGCCTCTCATTTATTTTAAAGAACGAGCTTGTAAGCCAGATGATTTCTGGAATTGACAAAAAAGAACCCGTTCATTCCGTTCTTTCTATTCAAGGATACCAATTGTATTATTTTTATAGCCTATTAATAGGCGCTATAGCCCTATAGATCTATGATATAATAGGTCAAATCAGCAGATGTCCACATCATCACATGCTTACTTTGGCCTCTTTTTCCTCTTTTGACTGGATGCGCCCAATGCGCCAATAGCATCCTATCCTATTAACAGCAGGTGAGGCAGGCCTGTAAAAATTGTTTACTTTCTCGCTTTTAATTCCGGGGAGGACTTCGGTAAACGAGCGACCTCTCTGAACTTTATTATAAATGAAATATTACACTCAATGGCCTTAAAAATCAGTACGGACGGAAAGCCTTAGATTTAAGCCAATATATGTATGTTAAGACCTGAGAGTAAGTTGATTTTTACACATGAAATTGCCGTGGTTTACGTATTCTTAACTCCAGTGCAAAGTTTTGAATCAGTGGGAGATGCACAGAGTTGCCTGTAGATTTTCTAGATCTAAGCGCGGTCGGAATCAAACGCGAGAAAATAAACAATTGCCGGCAGGCCACCTCTATATTTTCACCCCTGTGGTGAGAATAACACATGACCCGCTATATTTCCGCTCTATTGCTATTCTCACCCCTGAGAATAGCCCATGACCTTGTATTCTCCCCCCCTCCCCCCCTGGACATTGACAGTGATGTAGATCTATATTTTTTAAAGATGTGTGTATGTGTATAGCTCGGCCTGCTTTAAATGTTCCATCCCTTGAGATGAAGGAGCGCTCTAGTCTTACGTTACAGACTAAGAATAGAATTAAAGTCGGGTTATGGGATGGAAAATTACTAGATCTAGATCTAGATGCAGACTTTTGAAACAGATATAGATTCTATATATAATCATCTCAACCAGATCTTTGCTAAAATATATCTTTAATGAACAACAAATTATAATAATTTAAAAACGTTTTTCGCCGTAAAAAATGTCTCACTTCCGACGCTAGTGCAGGGGATACCGGCCACACCATTCACTGTTGACACACTTACAAAGGCAGACCTCTCTGCCTGCACACAATAGATTACGGTTCAAGGAACGGAGAACGTGTAGTAACAAGACACAAGCACAAGTGCTCTTGCACGACAGAAGAAGGGTTGTAAATTATTCCGACCAAATGGGCGAGGGCGTTAAAACATGTTAACTAGATCTAGTTTAATAATTAATTAAGCAATCGGAGCTCTTTTTTTCACTTTCATTTTTTTTTCTTTATATATATTCTTTCTTTCTTTTTTTTCCCCTTCCTTCTTCTTTCCCCTTCTTCTTTGACATTTTGAGTTTGGTCCAGTTTGGAGTAAAAAATACCCAGAGAGCCAAAGGAAATTCTGCGGGCCAGATGCGATCCAAAAGAGCCAAATTTCTGGGATTTGGCTCCAAACTGACAACCCTGACTATGACTATATTCAGACACGAACACGATCCTGTGGAGCATCAGCCCTGCCCCCCCCCCCCCCCACACACCAGGTGATTCCAGTAACTTCAGCCCTGATCCCGCTAGGGTCATTTCCAGTAAAACGAGGGGGTGAGAATAGCGAGACATGTGTTATTCTCAATAACGACTTCCATTTCTAATATCTCTAGCCTAGATCTAATCAAGATCTACAACTATAAGCAAAATTCCACACAGAAGAATGAGAATGTTGAGAAAGAGTCAGTATGGACCATGGTAATCAGTAATGAAATGAGGAGGTGGCTTCCCATTGACTTCGACAAAGCTTGTGGAGAGCAAGTTGTTTAGTAAGGCCGCTTAGAAAATTGAAAGTTCTGAGACTGAAAAACAAGAATCTTCAAAGATGAAGCTTTGATGCAACCTGTTGCCTCTCTGTTTTGTTTGAACTTGAAGTTTCAAGTTGAAGTTTGTAATTCAAGGCAACTCACTAAAGAATGACTCATCACTTGTCGGATAACATCAATGAACTTTTAATGATTCAACGGGGTTACAAGTGATGACGACATCAACTGAAATGAAATGGAAAACACAAGACGGGGATCGCACTGACAAATGAATCTAGACCTGCATGCATGAGTCCCCGAGGGGCGCAAAGTGATGATGATGATGATAGAGCATGAACTGACGAATAACACTAATAATACAGCTACATCCCCCCCAAGTTCATGGCCTCTCAAGAGGCTTTCTTCGCCGCTGAGGGGTCACAGTCTCTTTGAGTCCTGGCTTATTGTGTGGCATGAGACGTTGCAAGGCCCTGTGGGTTCTGGAAGGGGTTGCTTCTTGTCCGGTGGGGGTAGTCACTTCTGGCTCGACGGGGGTGGTC